AGCATCAGCAGGCCGTTGGCGCTGCGCATGGACATCAGCCTGCTGGACACCTGGTTACCTGCAGGGAGGAGGGGGTGTGGTCAGTCGCGTTACCCAAGTGAGATGACTGACAGGACACTGACCGAGGCAGCGGTTAGAACCACATAAATCAGCTGACTGATGTCGACCACAGAGCCAGCGCGATGGGGCCTGCGCGGGCGCGTCACTGGACGCTCTGTGGAAGCCTCGGGTATCTGGGAACACGCACGATGAATTTAGGAGAAAACTCCAAGAAAGCCGGTTGGAGAGGAGTCCTCGTTGGGAGGTTCAGAGACTTTGGAGCGAGTGTCCGTGAGCTGGACTCAGAGCAGACAAACCGCTCAGCACGTCACAGCGGCCGGTGGACGACAAACCTGATTGGACGAGCTGATGTAAAGCTCTGAGGGCGGCGCTACAGGACACAAGCGTAACGGCTCATTTGGGCCAAGTGCAGTGAGGAAGCTGAACGGCTGTGTGAACGTGTGCAACATCTTCATGATGTGATCAATAAAGAGGTCAGAGTTTACTGCGGCGAGGAGGAAACAGGAAGCAGCGCTTAGACACCAATGACTGACGATACACACCGTGTGTGTGTGTGCGCACTCACCTGTGCTCTGAGCCCAGGGCAGCGGCTCCTGGTGATGCCAGGTGAGAATGCAGCGGTGGTACTCAGGCCGGGGGTCCAGCTTAACGTCACAGGAGAGCTGAAGAGAAAACAGTGGGACTGTTACTGTTACTACAACAATAATGTGTTAACCTGAGTGATGCATCAAACACTCGGTTCAGCTTCGCCTGCAGGCAGTTACAGCATGACCTCAGAGTGTGTGTGTGTGTGTGTGTGTGTGTTACCCTCGCTTTGATGATTGTAGGTCGAGGATCCAGGATGCCTTGCATCTTCCTCAGAGCAGGAATCACAAAAAGGTTGCACGTCACCACAGCGGACACTGGGTTACCTTGGAAACAATAAACAGACCACGTGTGATGACGGTGCAGAAGCTCGATAACATGATGTGGCGCGTTTACGAGCAGCCTCTGAATGATATCATAAACGTGACCGTGGGAGGTACGAGTGTCGATGAGGCGCTGCTGGAACATTTATGGAGCTGTGAGGAGTTATTTTAAGATGCTGCCTGTAACGAATACGAAACAAGAGCGTCTGCGTCATCTGTTGATTTGTATTCATTTCTTTTCCTCCTTCATGTACTTCACAGTACAATCATGTACTGTGAAGTACAATCATGTACTGTGAAGTACATGATTGTACTGTGAAGTAGTAACTGCTAATTCTCAGCCCGTCTCTGCTGACGTTCAGCCTGACTGAAGCTTTCTGGAGGTTAAAGTCTGGGCTCAGGACGCTCTCAAGCTTCCTGCTTCGTGACACTGATCACAGGCGCCTGTGGAGACGACCCGAGGACGCTTCAAAGGCAGGTGAATTACACAGCAGGGTGATTATGTTACCTGGCAGGGCGAAGATGAGTTTTCGTGTCCCGTCGATGTCGACTGTGGCAAAGGTAGTGGGAAGACTGAGGGACAGAAACACAGCAGCGTGAGCAGAGGCTGAGGTATCAGCCGTCAGGTGTACCTGCAGATACCTGCAGTGAGGAACTCCTTCAGCTATCAGAGAAACATTTGTGACTGCAGTGAACAGACTAACGTGCAGCCACAGCTGAGGCTCATTAACAGCCGCCTGAAGCTTTCAGCTCTCAGGTATTTCTCACAGGTGTGACTGTGGTGACGTTCTGGACTAAAGCAGGAAGTCTCCGTCTTACCCTGGCTTCATGAAGACTCGGCCAAAGTGAATCTGCGCGTGCAGGTCGATATCCAGCACCTGCTTCAGGTAGTCCTGATCACAGACACACACACAGTCAGGTTTCCTGCACACTGACGACCAGAACATCTGCTCAGTGCGTCACTCCATCA